ATTGCGCATATAGGTCTTAAAACCCCGGCAGATGAAATACCTGAGTTGGTAATTCCGGCGTGTCTCGGGATGCAAACGCTTAATTGAAGCGAATCCTGAATTAATATGATATGAATCATATTTAAATGATAAGACTTGTAAAGTATTTGTAAAATTTTGCATTTCTGAGATGATAAAAAAAAAAAAAAAAAAAAAAAAAAAAAAAAAAAGGAAATTTTTAGTTATGTTACACTTTTGCTCCGCTTATTTTCCCTCACTCTTCCCTTCCTTCCCTCTGTTTTCGGCACGAAGGGTGCAGGGCATACCACCGTGCCCCTACTGCCCCCCCCCCCTCCGATCGGTCACTGTCACCCACTGCGCCGGGCGTCGACAAGGACAAGGTTTGTTCCACGCTCATACCGGTAGGGTGGGAAAAGGTAGGAAGGCTAGACGCAGCACAGGTGTTCTCGCAAAAAACCGTGTGTTGGTTCAATGACCGTTCTACCGATACTTGTCGAGCAGGACTACTATTTTTAGTTGCCTGAACGTAATACTGCCGTGCTAAGGAAGAACGCCGTATGAACCTTCAGGCGTTGCCAAAGTTCCTCTGATAAAATACGAATTTCTTCGGGAAATTGTAAATATTTTTATTCCAATTTTTCAGACTATTTTGTTCACAATTTAATCTACAACATGTGAAAATTTCAAGGAAAAATAGGCATTAATATCGTCAAAAATGCATGCTTTATCCTGGGAAATTTGGCAACTCTCGAATGTTCCTTACGGCGTTCTTCCTTAGCACGGCAGAATAGTTGCCGGAGGGTTCTCCTTGCAACGCGGCCCAATCCCAGCCGGCGGATTGCTGAAATTGATAGACAAAGCTATAGACAAAAAAGACATATGTAGCATGGAGCGGCCCTATCGGTTGAAATGGGTGGTTCTTATAGACTAAGTGGGTTAATAATGGACTAACTATATAGGGTCTCTCGTAAGTTGTCGTTAGTTGGTCTAAACCCCCGCCCGTCCCCGTTAGTAAGTCGTTAGTGTGTACCTTCTATGTCCATTGTATGTCCTTCTATGTCCGCGTCCACCCGCTTTCTCCGAGAAGATCCCTTTTGTCTCCTTTTTCTATAGCTTTGTCAATCAATTTCAACAAATTCCTATAAACTCTCGACGTTTTCAATGGCTCATGGTCGTCATGGATACTTGAAGTTTGCGGTTAACAAAAGGTTGCTTTGAAAAAAAGCTATACCTTAGGTCAAAAGTTTAAGAGTCATTCAAAATAAAACATTGCCGGATTTTAATGCAGCTTCACGCACCATACCGCAACGAAAATGACCTAAACCTCTCACAACTTTTTCTTTACAACACTAGAGAGAGTTTACCGTCAAGATGTATCGAAATCCAACATTTTGACCGAACTTAGGAAAAATCATTTTACAGAAAATTTTGCCTCCTTGGCCCAGGGCCGTATTAACGCTCAGGGGCCCGGTGCATTGGCGGGCACGAAGGGCCTACACATTTGCGGGTCGCATACTCTCTAAACTGAAGGCAGTTCACGTTTCCATAAAAACAAAGGGGTAAGAAACTTATTCTCAGGGAGCCCCCCATAGCATTTCTTTTCGGGGTTTCAATACTACCAAGTACAGAGTATCTTGTTGAACTTTTCTTTTTTGGATGAATGTGCAATGTGCATAAACACTGAAAAAAAATTCTCGGCGTTTTTACCACGGTCCGTTGGTACCTTTACCATTTCACTTTTTTTTACCAATTATTGGTAATTTTACCAACACAGACTGGTAAACTTACCTAAAACCGGTATTTTTACTGTTTTTTCTGGTAAGAATACCACTTTTATTGGTAATGAATTCCCGGTAACTTTGCCATTTTATCTCGGTAATTCTACCACAGTCGATAAAAAATATTGGCGTTTTTACCAAGGTCCAGTAAAATTACCGAGGAAGTTCAATAATTTTACCGAGATTTCTCGGTAAAATTACCAATTCCATAAATGATAATTTTACCAAGAAACAACTGGGATCAAATAGAACCCTGCATACTTGGTAATTTTACCCTTTTCTTAGTAAGTACACCGAGATTTTTCTTTCAGTGCATATTTAATTCCACATTTTATTCCTCATTTTATATTTATATTACGACTTAAAATGAGGTTTTTGAATGAATATCCCGCATCTTGTTCATATCTGAATAAACGGCTTAAAATCTTACTTAAACTACTTCAGATCAATCCCAACCACTTAAAACTGTAACCGAGCTGCAGTTCTCGCATGTCGCCTGATTTTTAAAGTCACGCTTACTTATGCCGGCCGGCAAGTACTGGTAGCCAGTGCCAGTAATTCGTAATTTTCTAATGACTGATAATGACATCGTGATGGGTGTCCACGTATTCACGGAAGTAGAGGTTATTGGCGACCGGCTTATCATTTCGGTTTCGTGCCGCTTTTGTGATAAGAAAGATGCGACTTAAATAGCCAAGCCGCCTCGTCATTTTGTATGCGTGCTGCAAAAGTAAACATCGACCATCCGATTCCCGACGTCTCAGTCGGTTTTCTGTTTGGTCCGCGGATGTTCGCCTGAAAGGAAAATTGATACTTTCCGAAGCTAGATCAAATGAGCCACTGAAAAAAAATCTTTGTGTATTTACTAAGAAAAGGGTAAAATTACCAAGTATTCAGGTTTCTATTTTATCCCAGTTTTTTCTTGGTAAAATTGTCATTTATGGAATTTGTAATTTTACCAAGAAATCTCGGTAAAATTATCGAACTTTCTCGGTAATTTTACTGGACCTTGGTAAAAACGCCAATATTTTTTATCGACTGTGGTAGAATTACCGAGATAAAATGGCAAAGTTACCGTAAATTGATTACCAATAAAAGTGGTATTCTTACCTGAAAAAAACAGTAAAAATACCGGTTTTTAGGTAAGCTTACCAGTCTGTCTTGGTAAAATTACCAATAATTGGTAAGAAAAGTGAGATAGTAAAGGTACCAACGGACCTTGGTAAAAACGCCGAGAATTTTTTTCAGTGAGGGACTTGGACGACAAAGCGCATACGTGCAATTTTTGCTCTTTCGAGAAATTGTGTTTGAAGTTTCGAAATTGCATGGATCCTTATGCGGCGGACAGTAAGTTCGAACTGACTTCTTGACGCTAAAAAATTGAAATTTGGGAGTGGATTTTCACAGAATGTGCCTATACACACTGTGTTTAAGACTAGTTTTACTTGAAATCATTAATATCTCAAAGCTTTCAAAAACTGCACTTATGCGCCCTGTCCTCCAAGCCCCTCAAATGAACTTCATTTTGCCATTGCAACTTGCTATATTCAGCTTACTAATAAAGGCACAATGAAGCAGTTGTTACTACAACTAAGCAGAATTAGTAGCTCCTAATTGTGCAATGCGCATTTCATCTATGGTTTTCCTGTTCGCATAAAAGGAAAACTTTAAAAAAGCTCGATGATCCCAGCCACTTGAGAGAAAAGAGTATGTTTTGACTGTTTCGATTCGCGTCATCCAGAAGTCTACAGATAGTGAGAGGAAAATTTTCGTCGACTGTGCGTCATTTTCCTCATTTGCTCAAAGAACTATTTACACATGGGTGTAGCTACGGAGGGTCTGAGCATGAGTCCCTCCAAATATGTGGTGCACTTCTGCAACAGTATGTGAGGGGTAAGAGCCTGACACACTTGAGTACGTTGAAAGTTCTGAAATTTCATTCACTTCCTCAAAAATAGTCGTATTTTTTTATTCGTTTCTATTTTTGTTTATTTTACTTTTATTTTATTTTTTATTTTTACGAAAAATTGTGAGAATTTTCTGAATGATTTTACAGAATTTTTGCGGATTTTTACCCATAAAATAGACGTCTTTTAAGGAATACTGACATAAGTCGTCCCGAGAAATTTTGAACATTGCAATGTAATTGAGCCCTCGCTCTGACTCCCTTTAATCATTTTGACATGGGCGGAACTAGAGGGCCTGGTCCGCTTGGTCCTTTCCAATTAAAATGAAAGAAATTTTGCAAAATGAGAGCGTCACATCGTCTGAATCAGTGAGAATAGCAAAATTTCTCCAATGTAAAAAAAAGTTCAATGAGACTCCCTGGGATTCCCCTTGGTGCTTAAAGAGTCCCTCCAGACCCCAAAGAAGGGCATGTCTCTCCCCGCTGCCCCCCACACGCCAAAAAAGAAAAAAAAAAGAAAAAAAAATCTCTCAGGGAAATCAAAATTAAACCGATTATTTTCCAAATCACGCGAGCGCCAGTCTCTATTTTGGTGGCAGAAGGGTTGTTTTTCCTGTGTTCACTCTGGTATAATGAACAATGCCTGATTCCAAAATAGCCTTCTAAAAGAACATACATTTTTTGGAATTCGAAGATTGTCAACAAAGCGAATAAAATCACAATCTTGTATTTTTCGCATTCGCAATTTTGGTGCTCACGAGGCGCTACGCGAGGGCGGCAAATTTTCATGAAAAATAAAATCCTGCAATTTCAGAAATTTATGACAGATATCGAAAAATACCGGTTCCTTTTCATGTTTCGCAAAATGTACATATTGTGACACTCTTCTATTTTTGGGTGTTTGAGTGCGGTTGCGTACTCTAGCCTCTGAAAAACAGGAAATATTTCATTTGCGTGAAATTTCATTAAATATTTCACTGAGATTTCCGATCTTCCGTTTCTTTCTTACGTTTCATGCCACCCTGCTTCTTCAAGCTAATCTCGGTACAAATTCTACTATTCAAGTCTTCCGGGGTAATTGCGAATTCTTAGAATTTCTTAGAATTTCTCGGATGTTCATACGGCTTTCTTCCTTAGCACGGCAGTATGGGACTCTCAAATTCGGATTCTTAGGGGTCGATTACCCGGACCGCAGTTCTTTTCCCGGAGACCATTCGTAAAGTGAGTGAACTAGGTTGAGATTTTCAATCACTCATTTCGATTCGATAATTTCATAATTTTGAGACCTGCTGACTGGCACTGAATTGCGGACTGACCTGCAAAAAGGCAGAAGATGAGTAGGGCTGGGGGTCGGATATCCATTGCTCACTGGCACTCGCGGTACTCGCGACACGGAGGAGACACTGTCGCGCGCGTAAAAAGATCGCGGAAGATGTTGGCGGCGCGCGCGGCGATCCGAGGACGGTGGAGACTCGCGGTTGGGGATCGACTGAAGAAAGCCGCGAGCAGCTGTTCCGAGTGCGGCAGGCGGAGCGCGCTAGGCGGAGGGCGGGGGCGGCGGGGCGAGAGGCGGAGAGAGTCCGGCTCCGAGAGCGACAGTCCCTTGCAGACGGAGAGGCATCACGCCGATGAAAGACATTCCCGGGACCCGATCATGCGTCCGGCATTCCGCATTATCCATTCAGAATGCACAAGTGTCATCCCGGTTCCTATCGGGTTCCTTTGAGCCAAACTACTGGAAATGGGCCGTTTACTCGGATGCAAATTTGATGATATGGAAAGAGTAATGTGTTCAACTGTGAAGCGAAGTGAATGACTACGAACAGTAGGGAAATGTGTACTGAAAAAAAAATCTCGGTGTATTTACTAAGAAAAGGGTAAAATTACCAAGAATTCAGGCTTCTATTTGATCCCAGTTTTTTCTTGGTAAAATTAACATTTATGGAATTGGTAATTTTACCAAGAATCTCTGTAAAATTATTGAACTTTCTCGGTAATTTTACTGGCCCTTCGAAAAAACGCCAATATTTTGTATCGACTGTGGTAGAATTACCGAGATAAAATGGCAAAGTTACCGGGAATTGATTACCAATAAAAGTGGTATTCTTACCTGAAAAAAAAACCAGTAAAAATACCGGTTTTGGGGTAAACTTACCAGTCTGTCTTGGTAAAATTACCAATAATTGGTAAGAAAAGTGAGATGGTAAAGGTACCAACGGACCTTGGTAAAAACGCCGAGAGTTTTTTTTCAGTGTGGGGGGACGTGGTGGGGGGCCGGGAGGTCTGGGGGTATCTTTTCAGTATAGAAATAAATAAAAATTTAATAATTTTGAATATTAGAAACTTTTTAAAGCATAGCCTCTAACTATGCAGAAGTAAACAAGTTGACTAAGGTTTTGGACTAAATAAAATGCAATTTTAAGAGGGGCCCATCCCAGAGGGGGGTACGGGGAAAATTTTTGAAATTTTAAATCTATTTGAACACTTTTTGAAGTTTCTGTGATGCAGATCGTCCATTAATTTCTGTGGGAAAATAACGTTTATTTTTATACACCGAAAAGAAAAACTCCGGCCATGGAATCCGCACTTACGGGCTATGTAAACATGCCGTCCGCGTCTCGGGCTCAGATGCCGAAAGTGACGGGCGTAGCTCCAGCATCCGGAACTTTCGGCCTCTGGGCCCGGGTTGGACGGTATGTCTACATAGCCTGTAAATATTTCTTTTTCATTTTAGTCTCAACAGAGTACTGCATACGACTGTAAGGTGAAGTGAAGGACTCTGGACAGTGGGGAAATATACAGGGTGTCCGGACCGGGTGTCGGAGGGGGGAGGACGGGGGGCTGGGGGCTCCTTCAAGCAAATTGTCGAAATTTTAAAGCATATAATGCAGTTGATGTGCAGTCGAATATGCAGTTTGAGTCAAATTCATCATTGATATTACGAAATCTAAGCGACCTTCCTCCTTCTTTTCTATCCGTTCCTTCCTTCCCTCTTTTTCCCTCCGTCTTTCGGGCGAACGAGGGAGGATTGTTCGCCCCCTACGCTTTTCTTGGATCCGCCTATGAAACTCGTAAATTTAACCAGTTTGGGGCCTTTTTGTACCCTGTTAGCAAAGCCTTGAGGAGCTATTGGGCCCTCAAATTCGGATTTTTATAGGGGTCGATTGCCCGGACTTCAGTAAATATTTTTCCGAAGACCATTCGTAAAGTGAGTGAACTAGTTTAAAATTTTCGACACTCACTGATTTCGATGCAATAATTTCATACGTTTGAGGGAAACGCCGACTTTTGAGGATTCCCCTTTCACCCTCCAAGGGAGACTGCAGGAAGGTCTTCGACACAATGAGGAGGGGGAGATAAAAGGAAAGATAGGAAAAGACAGAAAGAATTGGGCAGCAAGAAGCGAGAGGAGAAGGAATGATGTTAAAGAAAATACAAGGGGAAAGAAGATGATGGGCTCACCAAACCGAATGAGATTACTGTAACGCTGTGTCAGTTCGCCTTCAATTTTTAGTGTAGGCAACATAAGCTCCCTCGTGATCGAATAATTGTATCATCGTAAAATGGCGTGCTCATCTCATCTCAGGACGCACAAGTAAGAGCGCTTTACCAAAAAGGAAGAGGTTCTTTTAACGTCATGCCAGTTCGCCTTCAACTGGACGTATTTATGCCAAAAGGAACTATGTCTCACGCAAACCCTATGCACATAGTTCCTTTTTAACATAAATACGCTCAATGGGCCTGTTGCATGCAAGAGATACAGCCGTGCGAATAGACATTTTAGAGGTTAAATGGCACGAAAATTACGATGATCACATTAAAAAAGTCTGAAATACACTCCTTTCTGCGCAATTTGCGTTGTTAGGAACGCGCATTTTCAAATTTCCCGCGTCTGGGGGCAGTTTTCTAACGGAAACAATTAACGGCAACTCGCGGCTATTTCCGGTCAACTAAAACTGACAACATAACCTAAAAATCGGAGCTCCTGGTATCGTGAAATGAAATGTAGAAGGATTGCGTTGGATATTTAAAAGTTGATCGATTTGGTTACCGCATAAAGCGTATATGGATCACTATAAGAGATCACGTTGTGTTTGTAAAGAAACAGAAGGAAAAAATAACAACAACAACAACAACGACTCGGCATCTTCCGGAAATCACCGAGCCCGCCGTTTGCTCGTTTCCGGTGATTAGAAAACTGTCCCCAGACGCGGGAAATTTGAAAAAGCGCGTTCCTAACAACACAAATTGCGCAGTAAGGAGTGTATTTCAGACTCTTTTAATGTGACCATCGTAATTTTCGTGTAATTTAACCTCCAAAAAGTCTATTCGCGCGGCTGTATCTCTTGCATGCAACAGGCCCATTTTTAGTGTAAGCAACACAAGCTCTCACGTGATCGAATATTGGTATTACTTAAACCCTACAAAAATTATTATTTTCGTACGTAAATGCATCTCATTAATTCAAAACCATCCGTGACTCAATTTAGATTAAAATAGCGCTTGTGATACTCCGGCCGGAAAGTGAAGATTGCTCCAGGTCATTCCAAGGTGTTGTTGATACTGAAGTTGTATAAGAACGATCCCAAAGATGAGCAATTCCCCAACTTGGCGCTTGTGATACAAAAATTCATCAACTTCAACGGAGTATTTTCCATATTTATTTATTTTTATTATAAAAAAAAATATTATGTTTGGAATAACGAGATGCATTTACTTACGACAATAATTTAGCTTCAAGTCATTCCGAGGGTCGCTGTAACGAAAATTGTAAACAATCAGATAGGTGGGCCACGCTGTCGCCGGACTTGGCGCTTGTGATCCTTCTCTCCCAAATGGCGCTTGTGATAAGAAAGTATATCAACTTTAATTGATTTTTATTTATATTTCTACATTTTTGTTCTAAAAAAAAATAGTATTTTCTTATGTAAATGCATCTCCTTATTTAGAAACTATTCATAACTCGATTTCGGTAAAAATGACGCTGGTGATACTTCGGCCGGAAGGTGACAATATCGGTGAAAGGTTTCAGTTTGGCTGATTTTGGTTAATGCCGTTCATCCCATCTTGAATTCGGCCGAAGCTCACCTGAGATGCGCGGGAAAAATTCTAGAGTCACAGAAATTCCACAAAAGTCAAGTAACCTTGCGCAAAGAAATTTAAAAAAAAATAAAAAAATAAAAAAAACTTAACAGTTTTCAAGAAGCGAGGAAAAGACTGATCCGCTCAGACATCGCATCGTTTGAAACATTAGTAAGCTGAATACACCTGGTTTTCGTCGTTTGAAAACACACCCGACACTCGCCAACGTGAGCGTAACGCCTTTGGTATCACCCCGAAATGAAGGAAAATATTATTTCTCATGTCGAACATGAACATCGCACCAAAACTCAAGAGAGAGAGAATCTCGTAGCTCTTATCTAAAGCAACAAAAATACCAAAGTCTTTAACGTGACGACAAATCTTCATTGTGCATATAATTAAAAAGGCTTTGCTGTCAATTTTTTTTTTTTTTTTTTTTTTTTTTTTTTTTTTTTTTTTTTTTTTTTTTTTTTTTGAAATTGTAAAATGGAATCGATGTTAAATGGAATCCTCTGGGATCAGCGGATTTCCAAAGATAACAAGAGGAGGATATACAACGCTGTAGTAAAAAGTATATTAACATACGGATGTGAAGTTTGGCAGCTGAAGAAACGGACACAGGATATGCTAAGAGCAACGGAGATGGATTTCTGGAGAAGGTCGGCAGGAATTTCTAGGAGAGATCGGGTCCGTAATGATAGAGTGCGTCAGATAATGGAAGTCGAAAATGACATCGTGTTCGACGTCATGACCAAACAACTTGTTTGGTATGGTCATGTCAATAGGATGACGGAAGAGAGGCTGCCAAAAAAGATGCTTGATTGGGTTCCTCCTGGGAGGAGGCGTAGGGGACGCCCAGTGAGAGGTTGGCGACAGGGGGTATTAAGTGAGATGAGGGAGTGTCAACTCCCTGATAACCTGTGGGAAGACCGAGCTTTGTGGCGTTTAGGTGTCGCAAAGCGCCAAAGAGCGCTATAACAGCGACTCGTATGTATGTATGAAATTGTAAAAATGTGACCGTGCATCTTCCGAAGGTAGGAGAGGAAATTATTGGATCAGTTTTGAAGAGTCGAGTCGAAAAATCAGATTTCGATATTTATACAGATTAATCTCCTGAAAGCCCTATAAAATGAGTTTCCAGCGTTTTATTCCATTTTTTCACAAAAGGCGTAAAGTTGCGACACAACCCAGCAATTTTTACTCTCAGCGTGGTAGATCGTAAAAAAATAGCTTCTTGAATGACATGTGACACAGGTAGCGATGCTGCGACCGTGACACCTCACCGCACAGTGGACCGAGAAAATCAGAAGTCGGGCATGAAATTTTTTACTAAAACTGCAAATTTTGACACGTACTTCGTCACATTTTAAATTTTAAGAGGTACCTCTATAAGAAAATTTCACGAGAAAACGA